CTTATCCTTTTTCTGCTTCAAGAAACCCAAATAAAAGATACAGCTTGTATACAGTGGACTGCTGTTACAGGCCTCTGACCATTTTAATTTCATCTTCCTGTGAGATGCAAACCTCAGTCTTGCCATAGAGAATGGTTAACCTACTGATTTTTATAAGCATTACATTGATGGCTACAGTGCCACTATTCACAGCAAATGTTAGAGCCTGAAGGGGAGCTTAGATGCTTTGAAATGTGTTAGTTGGGGACTCCAGGTTGGGAGTAAAATGACTCCTGAGTATGAGATGGTGCCCTTGGGAATAGTCAACACTGAAGGAGGCAGACGTTCTTTCTGCATGGGATTTACCCATCCTTCTGGTAACTGGTGATTATGTGTGAATGCAAGCTGAGAGCCTAACAGAAAGGTAACTGGAATGGCAGGAGACGAAGCAATGGAAGTGAAGAGGAGACAGTGGATGGGAGAAACAGCCGAGTCCAGCACTCTGAGAAGTGCTAGATATGTTTTAGACACTTACTGATACTATAACGTAAGGACAGACTTTTCCAGTAGAGGAATAAGACAATATTCAAAGCATTTCCATTTGCCAGAGACTGTAGGGGAGAGGACACAGGTGGCATGCTTAATGCAGCATCTGATTTGACAAAGCCAGCATTTGGTTGTAGAGGCTAGTTCCTTGCTAAAGACTGTTCCTTTGTTATTCCTTCATTACACTGTGCTTGTACCACTTGAATGTAGCTCTCAGTAAACGTGCAGAAAGCTTTCAAATCATGCAGCATCCAGCTTTTTGTTGGCTTAGTAATTAAACTTTTTTTTTAACTTTAGTTGTTCCCTACCCTACAATACACTGACTACTAAAATATATTTTATTCCCTATAGCTATTAGCATTGAAAACCAGTTCTGAGTGGATCTTAACTCAGATGCATGGCCTGACTACTTCATTTGTTCACCCGCTCCAGTGTCTGTTCCTCAAATTAAACTGTGCACCTGATGTGGCAGAGGATTTCCACTTCCTCCTGCTGGATTGTGGAACGGGGATAATCTCTGTAGAGTTCAAAATTCTTATTCAGATCTGTATCTTATTTATTTATGTATTTAATTTAAAGCTTTTATCTTTCAGAACCAGACTTGTCTGCTTGTTTTGTTCAGTTGAGTGTTAATTGCTGTACAGCAGTTTGTATATTTGGTGAGAACAACTGTATACTTTGTATATTTAATTGGCCTGAAGTAAAAAGTCATGTTGCTTAATTAATGGCAACAAATAATTCCCTCTCATTCTGGAAATAGACCCTATTTTTATTCATTTCAGACTGTAAATTATATTGTTTGTTTAGCAATCATCACAAGATGTAGGAATAGTGACTGAGCGTCTTCTCCGGTTTCAATTTTAACATTTAACAATAGGTATATTAAAAGTACTTTTATATGTTTTTAAACTTATTGTTGTACTTAATAGAAATATTATCTGATCAAAATTATTAATGAGTATTTATTATATCACAGAGACCACACTGTGATATAATACACCTTGTTCATATACCTTGTCATATAGTCATGGGAATACAAGTGTAAAGAAAATATCAATAGATAAAAAGAGAACATTAACTAACTCTTGCAGTTGGATTGATATCCACACTCCTTTGAAAAAGGCTATTACTTCTGTGAGTGGTGGATTTTTCCTGCAAAGGCCCTTTCTCAGTATGGTGTAATTGTTCAAGTATAGAGGAAGTCTAGTTTTCATTTTACTTGTGTGAACTTGTCCATTACAAATGTTAGATACATTGCCCCAGAATTCCCAGGATCAGCCTTTGGCACATTTTAAATCTTTTTATTATATTGGCTGCTTTCCATTATTTTTGTACTGAGACCTGTTTAAGGGATATAGTATATGCTGAAGGATGTGGGCATTATATTGGAATTCTTTTTTGGAAGCTCTAGTAAAAATCATTACTTCATGACAGCTTACTTAAAAAACTCCTTTTACTGATATTTCAGTTTAAAGATGATTTCTAAAGTTCTAGAGCTTTCTTTCTTTTTTATTTCAAAAAGTACTGTTGAATAAAATACAATTAATTAATATAATATTCAAATGACACCTTCTGATAATGCTGTAACCACTTGAGCATCTTTTTTCTACCAGAAAGCTTTTTGCTTCTGATGTGTTTGGAAATAGCTTTACTAATTATTGTTAGTAAGATTCTACTAAAAAACCCATTTTTTGTGTGAATACAATTAACTTTCTGTTATGCTGTATTTTTAAGGCAGTTCTATGTAGATAAGGTTTTGAGTTCTGAAGGATGTCTTTACCTCCAGTAACATCTTTAATCTTCTGAATAATCACATTTGGCTTGCATCCCTTGCATTAATTTTGATTCCTAGTATGCATTTGCTGTTAGTCTCTAACATTACTTCACATTAGTCTTCACACTGTCCATAATTTTATCCTTTTATCTGCTTCCTTTAATCTCTCTTTGAAGTACCACTTCAAATTTTTTTGTACTTTGTATTCTAAAGCTAAAAATTACTGTAATTTTTTGCCCTTTTTCCCCCTCTCTGGAATATTAAATCTAAATACATTTTAGTCACTATTACATGCTTTGTGTCAGGACTCAGGAGTCTTGGAAATTAGGGAGAAAAAAACCTCAAAGCCCCATAAAGCAGACAAAACCTGCCAGCTATGGGGTTCTGACCCAAAGAATTCAGTATGTATTATATCTATTGCTCCCCTCTCCATTCTCTGTCCCTGTCCTAACTCATTACATGGTTCACATTCAGAAGATGCTCTTCTGCTGCTTCTATGTTAGTATGTAAGGATTGGGAATGGGAAGAAAAAAGAAAGTGCAAATGTTGCTTGGATCTAACATTTTACAGCCCTTCTTCAAAGGCAAAGGAAGGCTAACACAAAGAACACCTTGTCAATTCCATTAACTTTTGGGAAAATAACAGCCTGCACATGAATGACATCCTTTTTGAAATGTCTGTATTAAGAATTTTAGTGAAGACAAAGTTTGGGATGGATGTCTTTAAATGGTTATAAGTTGATATAGAATCTGGTATTTACTGTTCTTTGCAGTTGTTGAAGCAAGTGCTCTTGTAATGACTATTGGTTTTAGTGATTTGTATTTTTTAAAAGTCTTGTATACAGTGAGGTTTAAGTTTAGAGACTGGGAATGGAAAAGTTCATCCTTTTCTTATCTCAGTAACACAGAGGTGTGGGGAAGGAGGGACGTGAAGTTGGCATCCTTTTGGAGATGCTATATGGGCAGCGGGTAAAAGGAGCTGAATAACTGGAAAGATGCTCCTGGCATAGGATTTCACATAAACAGGACCCTTCAGAAGTGGCTACTGGTGGATTATTCACTGAAAACTAAAGGGTCTGCTGTGTGGATTTGACTAGTCCTCTTGGGAGAGCTTTATATCCCTACTTGGCCATGCGGGTATGGTGAGTTTAGAACAAGGAGGGGGGGGTTCTTCCTCTGCAAAGGTCTGTATCATTTCAAAATAATTAGCAATGCTCTGGATTTTTGAGCTTTCACTGCAGTATCTATGGTTATATGTTCAACCTCCAAACTTGCAAAGTCACACAAGTTTTAAAGGAATTGTGGCATTGGAGAAGTTTGCTGTGATACATTCTTATTGATGTTAACTTCATCTTTGCTTTCTGTATCTGCTGTGAATAAGGTTTTATGACATAGTAAAACCTGGTCCCCTTGATCTGGCTGTTTGTCTCTCAGTCAGCTGTGACCTTTTTATCACATGACATGCGGGGTGAATACACACAGCCTTTTTCTCCTATTGGAATGAACACCTTTTCTCCCTCTCCCAATAGGGACAAAAGCCCTTACCTTGTGAAAAAGGAACGATTGAGGTACAGGTTACACAAAGATATGTATTTGGCTGATGCTGGAAATAAGTCATGTTGTATTCTCTGAAAATACCAGTAATGTTATTGGAGCCAAAGTGGTGCTGGGCATCCTGGTTTGCTTTGCAAAATGAGATTTGCCTTTGGTGTTACAGAAGAGAGAGGTCTGGTTTACCCAGGCAGCTTTTTGGTTCATAACTTCTACTTTCATATGACTTTCTTTGGAAAAATGTAATTAAGCTGTTGAAGTATACTTCAGTATCTACAGATTTTCCAGACTTTATTTTGGTTTCTGGGACAAGCTTTCCTTAGGCAAGGATGGCAGGTGGAAAGCAGTTTGGTAGAAAATAGCTTGAAATGGAGATTAATGAAGTTGTTTATAAGATTTGACAAAGGCTGTCCTAATATCATCTGATTAAGTAGTGACCCCATTATGTGCTCTAATTTAATCAGCTGATTTACCTAAACATCTTTGCAGAATAATCAGGAAGTTCATGGACTTTTAAATTATTTAAGAAATTATTCTTAATATTTTAGAAAGTTAAATGCATACTCTTTGGTGAGGAATTTCTTCCCTTTTTCCCCCCCTCCGTGTGTGTATATGTAATATATCTCTCCCCTATATCTATATAGGGGCCCTAAAAAGAACTTTCCATGAAGACAAGTTCTATACGTTTTTGGGGAACAGAGGTGAGGGTGTTTATTCTCCACACTCCCAATCCATAAAAGAAGTAGTAATGGGCTGTGGCTTTTTAGATGGTTTTCAGGAATACAGCATTATAATGCTAGTGGTGTTTATTAATTCAGTATTATTTCTTTAACTCTTTCAGAAGCATTGTGTGTCTTCTGGAAATAAAGCTTTATGTGAAAAAAACAAGAATACAAATTTGGTTCTTTTGGAAAGAAAAGCTCTGCATTTAATTAATGTAATGTATTTTTAATACTTTTTTCCTTTTTGAATGTGAAAAGCATACCTCACTAAGGTGCAATTGTCTATTTTGAATTACACTGAACACGCAAAATGTAAAGAATCTGCTACTTAATCAGTAGGATTTTAAACATTTATTTAATGTGGGTTAGGTATTTCTTTTGGCTTGTCTGTACCATCTGTTTTAAAATATGCCTTAAAACCTGACACAGGCTTCAAGCCGTCAAGAAGATGAACAAGTGGTCCTTGTGAGAACAGATGGGAGTGGAAGGGCATGGCCTGTGATGGGACCAACAGAGCCACTGGAACCAAAAGGAGGACGAAGAAAGCAGCAGATGGTAAGTTTTACAAATCTGAGTACTGAACTGCAACTCTTAACTGATTTTGTAGTTTTACTTTTATGATGCTATAATTAATGAGTATCTTATCAGAAAGTCAATAGGTAGTTAAAAAGTTCTTTTTGGAAGATGATTGTAATTATGTGTTAGATCACCTATTTATTAAGCATATATTCAGTTTATTTTCAGATTGTATTTCCCAGGGGATCACTTTAGGGCTTATTTAAATGCATGTTAAGGAAAAGTTATCCCAGTCTCTTTAGTTTATATTACATAAAGTTATGTAAATAAAGATTAGTAGGAGCTGTATATTTCCAAATTAAGAAAGATTTTGCTGAGATACTCAGGTCTCAGGGGCTAATTTCACTTTAGTTCTAACAAAAAATATGGCTACTGATGACAATAATAACTATGGCCTAATCTTTGTAACAGAGTGGTTTGGGGAACAATAAGAAACTTGGAAGCTGGAGCAGTGTTTTATTCTTAGGATAATTGCTTCCAGCAGTAAATATAGTAGCACTTTGATCTTTTTGAGATAAGAGGAGGTGACACTACCTCATAATTCTAGCAAGCATTCTTGATTAGTTGGACAGATCAGCTTGCAACACTGCTGTGGAGAAGCAAAAGACACAAGAGGGTGAGGAATTTGTTGTCATCATCCTGTTGTTTCCACTTTGGAAAACGGTATCCTGCTTTATGTTAATGACCACTCCCTGTACTCCTTTGGAATTTAGTTTATTCCTCTCCTAAGGGACATCTCTGTTCCCTTGTGCACTCTTAAAGTGGCAACATTTCCCAGAGGTACCATATTCAAACAAGTTTTCAGTACTGTCTGTGATTACTGTGTTTCAGTGATATCTGTGACTATACAAAAGCTGTAGAATTGTCAATAATGAAAATTACTTTTTAGGATATTTCATTTTTATGAGCTAATTAACTGTACTGTCTATCTTTCCTGAGTGGTAATGTTGTAGCTCTGATACCTTAAGGGTGTTCAGGATATAGTGACTTTGGGAAGAGGCTATATTCTTATTTAGACATTCTGATGCAATTGAAGAAAGGGAAAGATGTTTTTCTCCTTAAATAAAATTGAGCTGTTAGCCCAGTTGTTTTGGATCTGCTTAGCTTGATTCATGATTCTTTAAACTTGTTGAAATGGTTAGGGTCTGAATTTTATAGCTGATGTTTCTGATTAGGTTAATACTTATTTTTAATGTGTTTTGCTTTCAGGTGCCTACTCATGTAGATAAAGAGAGAGTAAGGTATTTTCAGGATGATGATAGTATGAACCTGAAGGATTTGGTCAAAAATGAGAAGATGAGAACAGCAGAGGATCAAAACTCGCTGTTCATGCGTATGGCATCAAAGGTAAGGTGCTGTGTGTATGGCTTTTTAATTAAACATGTTATTATTAGAAATATCAGGGAGTACATGAGGCCTGAGTAAAGGGAAAGCCTGAAGGAAGATGAGAATTGTTTATGGTTACAGAATTATGCAGGACTGTCAAAAATAGGGGCCATTGTAAATTGTAGAATTTCCAAGTACAAAGCGAGAATTTTTCTAAGATTGTGAAACATCTGAGCTGATTCTTAGGATCCACTTTAGAGAGTTGCTGGAGAGACGTACACATTTTAGTGATGTGAGTCACCTGTCCTATTTTAAATGGTGTCTGAAAGGCATTATGGGTATAAAAGGAATTAAAATGTCTAGTTCAGACACAGGTGATTATTCTATAGAACTCTCAAATAAAAAGGAACAGATCCCATCACAGGTATTGAGGCAATAAATTCAGATGAAAGGCAGGACTGATGAAAGCAAAATGTTGATAATCTTAAAGCTGTGTGAGGCCATGACTGTACATACACAAGAGGCTGTTGATGCCTTATTTGAGAGTTGTTGCGAGTCTGCAAACATCGTCTCAGTGCTGGTGTGATTAAAAGGAGAATCAGAATTTTGGAGGTTATGAAAAAGGAGAATTTAGCATTTTAAAGCATGTAGTGAACGCATCATACACGCATATCTTGAATGCTGCCCAAGCTGTTAAAGCATACCCTGTAATCAGGAGCACAGAGCAGTAGCCATTTGAAGAAAACCTAAGTAAACAATATTTCTTCAGCTTGGGGGGAATGGGTGGATGGGTAAGGGAACGCAGGTGCTAGACTAGAACAATTAGCATAAAAGTTTAATAGAACACAACTATTTTTGTTTCACATATGGGATGTGGCCACAGAAGAAATAACATGAAGGAGTGGTCTGAGATTTTTTTTCAGTGAAGAAGGTAATTGTAGATCTTGTGTTGTAGAGCATGAAATGCAGTGGAGGCCTTGATTGTGAGTGGGAGCAAAAAAAGACATAGCAACTGAGTGAAATACTGTTTCATTGTTAAATATTTAATAGGGAGATCTAGATAGGTTTTGGTCAGTATTTCCACAGTAAGTGCTGAGAGCTGCAAATGTGTAGAAGAGTCAATTTTATTGTCTCCCCCCATATATCTTAACCATTGCTGGAGATTGATTTTGCAACATAAAATGGTCACACTGGGTGAGAAAGCAGCTGTTTCATTCCAAAGGGATATTTCCTTTTTTTTTTTTTTTTGTTTGGTTTGGTTTTTGGTTTTGATTTTGTTTTTGGATTTTGGTTTTTTCTTTTTTTTTTTCCTTGTTTTATTTTTGTTTGGTTTTTTGAAGGGTAAAATTTGTTAATTATGTTACAGGAATTTGTATTGTGTTTCCTAGTCTATGCAAATACTTTATTGTAGTTTTGGAAGGCTCTGACTTCCTACTAACTTCAGTGAGTTTTGGATCAGATGCTAAGTAATGTGTTTCTTTTTTGTTACTGGGCAAAGACGTACTACATCAACTGGTTTTCTTAGAATAAGTTTCTTGACTAACCTTTTACGATTCAACCATACTATATATTTACTGGCTAAGTGTATTGAAGCATATGTTCAAAATAGATATTTTGTCAAAACCATTACTGTTGCAATGTCCATATTTTAATTCATGATACTGTAGTATTTCAGTCCTATGCAATGTCACATTTAGGTTTTAAAGGTATTTTTGTTCAGCTTTCATAAAAAGAAGCATCTCAGATGCCAATTGTTCTTCTCTGTTAAGATCTAAAATGCTTTTGGTAGGTTCTGTGCAGGTGATTCCCAGATTCTGTCACCAGAAAATGTGATGGTCTTCCCCAGATGATGTTTGTTTCTTGATCTTAGGTTAAGAAACTGGCTCCTAGGCCTCTGTGAGGTTTCCATGTGTTTCCATGTCTGTAGAATGCATTTATTCACAGTACAAGATCAGTGTTACTCTATTTATGTACTTTATAAGCCTATACTACATGGAGTATCTGCATTATGATCTGGTGCTCAGTAAGTTAGTCTTCAAAATTCTTGCATCTCTCCTCAGTGGTTTCAGCGAGGTGTTTTATTCCAGCAGGAAATCTAGCAAACAAACCTCTTTTGCCAGTTTTAGTTTGATAACACTACACAAATTTGACACATACAAATTACTTTATCTTTCTGCCTTCATTTGAGAAATGAAAAAATTATCCACAAAAATTAATCTGTTGTATTGCAGAGGAGTGGTGGGAGGAAACTGCTGCAAGTCTACAAATGATATCCTGCCTTGGATGGGAGAAGGGAGATTGTGTCCCTTAAATTCTGTTCAACAATTTCAGTCATCTAATCACTGTGAATTGCCTAGGGTGCTATTATTTCCTTCAGAGATTTTCCCAGGGCTTCTGTCCCTTTCCCAGACTATGCCCAAAAGAAACTTCCAGCCCCACAGCTGTTGAGGATGGAGGAAATAGGTGCTGCTCTCACAAATGGGAGCAGAATGAGAACGACAGGCCAGCATGTTTTCTGGCTTTTACACAGCTGAATGCTCTGCTCTAGATCAGTGTTACTTTCCTTATATTTACTGCTTTTAACAGTAGTTCAAATGAAATACAGGTTAGTTGTTGAAGATAATAACATAATTGCAGTTTTGTAGAGATAGATGGGGATGTTGAAATAGAAGGGTATAATTCATGAAAGGATTTATTTTCTTGAATGGGACTTGGAAGAAATATCAGTACGTAGACCCAAAGTCTCTCTTCATGAAAGCTATGTCTAATCCCATTGCCAGGTGAAAGTCTGTGTGTTATCTCGTGCCAGACTCCCACTCTGATTGACAGAATAAACATCTGCAGTGTTCAAGCCATACTTTTCCACCTTTCCTTTTCTCAAGATCTCAACGAGATGAGATGGAGGGATTTTGCTGTCTCCTTGCTGTTTATTTACCTGTTGGGTCTTTGTTTTAAATTTTGATTCTGACTTATCATTGCTCTCTTGTCCATTCTTATTTTTGTAGTCATGGTTCTAAGACAACCCTGCTGTGCTTGAGGCTTTTGTCTCCTGTTCCCCTTCGGCCTCTGTTTGAAGGTGGCTGATGTGGGTGTCACTTACCTCAGCAGTTTGAATTGCTGCCTTTCCCACAGCCGTCCCATGCATGCTATTACGTAAAATTTATGAATACCATGAAAAAAATCTTTAATTTACAGTGCTGGAAAAAAACCTTTTTAAAATCCAGCACTAATCTTTTTGATATATGGAGAAAAAGCAGGCCTAAAGTTTGATTTGTTCGTGTTTTGCTGTTATGGCTCAATGAAAAAAACATCCATTTAAATCACTATTTCTGCTTTTTATTTTCTTCACCTTTGAAAGTGGTTTTGGTTCTCACTGTTGTAGAAGCATGACTTGAGGATATAAAGAAGTCAATAAAACATTTGAAAACTGTTTTTTTCTGACATTTCTAGAGTACAAAATATGTGCGAAGTGTTAGATTTTCAGTACTGATAGCTTTAAGTACCCTGTTTGTAGTTTCTTCGGCCTCTGACTGTTGTAAGTGGTTCAGTTTTCCCAAATTCATGCTGTTAAGACTTATGTAATCCTTTCACTCATGTCAATAGATGCTTGTGGGTGTTTAGAGACTGATTCCTGGAACATAACCTCAAGAGAAATTACCTTGTATTTGTATGTATTAATTCTACTAAAGCATTTTTTTTTCCTTTTTATATTTTACTTCAGGAAAGAGAACAATTAATTTGAGTAGTTCATCAGGACATTTTAATTTTTGCCAGAAATGAATTTTATTTTAAAATATGTGCAGTAATTCCTAAGAGGAATTCAGCAGTGAAAAATGAAATGCCTTATTAGTAATGCTGACCTTCCTTTATGGATTTAGCTGAGTGGTATTCTAGTATTATAGGTTTGCAAAAAGGAAATTTGCATGTTGCCTTTCCTTGCTTCTCTAAAAGTCTGTAAAATGGAAAATTACTTTCAGCCTAATCATTTCTGCTTGCTGTGCAAGTCTACCTGTTCACATTTTTGCATTTCTGTCTTCATAAACCAAAATAATAGTCTTGAAAAAAACCTTAGAAGCTAAAGTGAAAAATGCAAAATGTTGCTGCTGCTGCTACTATTATGTAATGAACCTTTTTCTTCTCCTTCTTCACACAGTGAAGCAATTTTAGCACAATATTTAATAGACATGATAAAGCCAGCAAAGCTCTGGTGCTCTGTTGCTTTTTACATTTCCTTCAAGCTTATGTGCATGGTTTGTTGTAAAAAATTATTGCGATAACACAAGAGAAATAATTTCCAACACCTTGTTCTGCTACATTTCAATTCAATTCACTAAACATCCTTCTGTGTATATTGTGTGGACACAAAGTTAAGGCTGTTTCTGCATTTGGAAACAAATCAACAACAGGACAGCTGCATTAAGGAAGAAAACCTGGGAAGAGTAAGAACTGTGTAGATGTAGCCCATATGAAATTACTGCATAAGCATTTAGGATTCTGCCAGAATTATGTTAAAATTACAAGATATGTTGCAGTTGAAGACTTGTGCAGGACAGTCTTTCCTAGACATTAAAATTATGGCCAGGAATAACTGTAAAGTGCAATGCTAATCAGAATTTTAAAAGTAGAATTCTATGGGTGAAGGTATTTTTGTTTAGTTTACATTTTATGTCATTGACTTTATATAAACTTTTGTCTGTCCTAATTACTACTTATAGCAAAATCTAGAGTTTTCATTTCATATAGCAGAAACAAAAAGGAGGTTGGTCTCTAGCCACTGAGCAGTCCTCTGTCATCTTTTTGCTTGACTTCTGCTGCTCAAAGATAATCCTGAGTTACCTTGCTCACCAGCATGACTTTTCTTGTCAGTGATACAGGCCTTAAAAGAACTCTGTGCACTGATATATTAAAATCCTTTGATACTATGTGTTTAAAGTATTCTTTAATTCAGTGTGATGATAAGTTTTGAAAATGCCTATTCACTGAATTATATGATGAATTAAACCTACAAATTTAAATGTCTGTGTTCACAGGGGGACTGGAATTGTAATAAGGTTTACATGATAAAATTCTACCTTTGTTTGTCTTAAGCAAATTCTATTTGAGTTCAGAACTTTTCGGAGGTGATTTTGTTGTTCAGAATAGGTGCTAAATGCTGAACAAATTTAAATGTGATGAGATGTATTCTTATGTCACTCAGGTTTGTGTTCTAAAATAATAGATTATTCTTCTTTGCAGCTTCCTGAAATACATTATGATACAACATTCCACAAATATTAGCTCTGTCATTTAAAGACGTCAGTGTTGCCATGACAATTTAAACCCAAACTGATACATTTTATACAATCTATAGACTTTTTTTTTGACAAATTTTTCAAGCAGATGCACTTTTATTAGCTTATATGGAAGTAACTCCAGCTATGATTGCGTTAGCAAGGAAACAGGAAAAGCAGAAGTTCAATAGTTGCATACAAATTGGAGCAAGAAAATAAGCAGAAAAGAAACAGTACAAAAAAGCTGAAAATAACCCACACTGGAACCACGCAGGTACCTTTTGTTCCTCTGCTAATTGTGTTTAATAGAATTTCCAATTTCATCCACAAATTTCAAAGGAAATCTGAAGTGGGGAAAAACGTATACTTGAGGTATTATACGAGTATAATCTTGATCACTAGGAATTCTGTCTCTTAAGGGGTTTTTTTCAGTATCACAATGATACTAAATTCTTTAGCAGAGCTTTTTATTCAAAGGGGCCACCCAAAAAGCAAGCAGTAGCAGCAGAGGGAGCAATAAGAGACACAACGTGCAGTATGCTCAAGGTGGAGTGTGTAGGAAGCCAGCAGTATATAAGACTCCAGGGATTTTACTGTGGAATAAAAAAAATAAATATTTAAAATCAAGCTATGAAATATGGTTTCAGAATCCTGAACATAGGTTGGTAGAAAAATGAGGCTGACCCTGGACTGTCCCTTGCACAGACTTGCAAGAGTTACTTCAGAAAATATCCCCATGCCATGGTGCCTGATGGCTTCACTAACATAGCAAATTAAAAAGGGCTTCAATTATTTAGTAAACAGAATGTTATGTAATGAAATAATTCATGTAATTTATTCATATTATTCATGGTAATTATCATGATAAGGATTTAATCAGAAAATACAACACTGTAATTTTTCCCTCTCTCAAATCATTCTGATTTATGCATAGTCAGATGCTGATTTCTTTCTAAACTCCTGTGCTGAATGGTTAGAGATCTCACCCCTTTTCTTGTGTTTTAGCTACGTTTGCACTGTATTTGAGCAGTCCAAATGAAAACCCAGAGGGCTCCTGAGAGAAGTTTGGATGCCTTCCCTGACTGCTGTTTAAATGTTTGTGTATTACAGCCCTCTCTTGGCCAGGGCAAGCACAATTGCGATTCTTCTCTGTTGGTTAAATGAAAACTGCATCCTGGTTGTGGAAAATCAGATGGACGGTAGCAATGACGTAGTTGCACAATTATGCTATGAGATGTGGGAGGCCATGTCATTTTGCCTGGTGCTAAGAGTCCTAAAGCTGCCTTTGTGTCGTCTGGTTAATCAGTGCTTGCCAAAAGAGAAGGGAAAGCTGGAAAAAAAGAGGGTGTATATGAAGGAAGAATGTGGCAGATAAGGCCAGAATAAGGAAAAGTGAAGTAGGAAAAAGAAGACTGGGGATTGTAGAGCTGGTCTGTCTTACGGACATGTCAGTTTAGTACAGCTCTGGGCTTTGGCCAGTATCTGGTAGAAAGAAGGGCTTCAGATGCATTGTCCTTATAGGAACCTGAATTTCCTTTGTTAGCATTAGGTGATTCAGTCATGTATTGTAGGACATCCCAACTGTAAACTAATAGATCAGAATGACTTCCTGCATCTTTCTGATCACTGTGCAGCACCTGAGCAGCAAGGGCAATACCAAACTATATCAATCATGGTGAGAAAACTAAACACACAACATCCAAAATGCATTGGCTTTCATGTTTGGCAGGTGTGATGCTGCACCTATGATTCAGAACAGCAGCTTTGCAGCAACTCTAATACATCAGCACAGTTCCTTCTTTGGATGTGTACTAGCTAGACTAGTTATGTCTTTTGTATGGAAGAATATATGTATGAAAGAAATTGGTTTTTGAATGATTACTTGCTTTCCTTCTGGTATATTAGAGAACAATTTCTTCCTGTTCTTTTGATTCCCCTATAACTTATTTTTGAGAGATTTAGTTATAGCCAAATAATGCAGTTGGCAGAACTCACTGGGCACTTTGTTGTACAAATAGAAGTATAAATATTTTAGAAGAGGGATGGAACACCTCTCCTATGAAGACAGTCTGAGAGTTGGGGTTGTTCAGCCTGGAGAAGAGAAGGATCCAAGGACACCTTATAAAACCTTCCAGTACCTAAAGGGGGATTAGAAAAGAGACAGAGAGCAACTTTTCACACAGGCAGATACAGCAAGGCCTAATGGTCCCAAACAGAAAGAGGGTAGATTTAGTTCAGTTATTTAGTAGAACATCCTTACTTTGAGGGAAATCAGGCACTAGGACAGGTTGCCCAGAGAAGTTGTGGATGCCCCCATCCCTAGAGCATCCAAGACCAGGCTGGATGGGGTCCTGAGCAGCTTGGCTTAGAGGAAGGTGTCTCTTTAAAGTCTCTTTCAACCTAAACCATTGTATGGTTCTATGATCTGTGGGTCATGATGTACCAGAAGAAACAAAATCTGGATTTTAGACAGCACCTACTTTATAAAAGTTTGCTACTTTTTATGTAAGAATCTTCCAGGCTGTTTAATAAGATGAATATTAATTCTATCACAAGGGATTCTGTGGAGTATTTTGAAAAGTATTATTATTTAAAAGAAGTTGTGGAGGTTGTGTGTAACAAACCAGGAATTTTCATGATGACTTCTAAGTGCAAGCAGAACAGAGTACTAATGGTATTCTGTGTTACGTGTAATACTCCTGGTAGCCAGAATGTTGTGATTTCCACACTTCCTTTCCTTTCTAGACTGCCAACTGTCATGTTTCCTGTGTACTTTCATTCTCATGGCAGAATTTTTATTTAAATAAAAATCCCAAACTTAATGTTTAGTAATAACATTACTGCTATCCTCTAAGCAATGCTTTGGCTGCAGGTCTAACTTTACCTTATTAATCCTTTTATAACAGAAGAACATAGACTTGATTTTAGACACCCAAACCACTACATCTTTTTTCTAAATCTCAGAAATCTCCTTATTCTGTTAAATGTAGAATTGCAGCAAGACAGAAGAAGAAGGGAGTTAAACTCTTGAACTGTTTATTTTAGTCTGCAGTGGCTTCCAGTAGGAAATGCACATAGGCACTTAAGTGTATTATAGCTGAATAAAGTAATATTGAGTCTCTTCCTCAGCTGTTTGATAAGAAGAGTACTGAGCATATTTTAAACAAGGTTTTGGTCTGTGTTAGAAAACTGCAGTATTTGGGAAAAGAGCTTTTGTGTTTTTGGGGGAAAGTTACTTATGTACTCTGTCCTTTTTTTTGTTTTTTTAAATATCATATTACCTACAGAAACTATGCCTGGGATATTTGGAAGTATTTCTTTAATTTGGATACTGTGCTTCATTTGTGATAGTCTGCCTTCCAAATGCGTTCAGTTAACATTAGTTCTTTTCTAGGGCTACCCTAGTCAGTATCCTAAAATTTATTAAAATTTATTGTGGCATGCAACAGGTACACTCAGAAAGACTTAGTATTGAAGGCAAAGACTGTTTTCTTCCCAAAATGGCTTAGTCCTGTTCCCTTGGTAAGAATAACTGTTGGCATATTTTCACAGAATGTGAATATGAAGTGCAGAGTCATGGTCTAGTTATTTCACAAAAGATGATTTAATGGTAGTTGTAAAAGGAGAGGAGGAGGAGATGGGAGAGGATAAAATATATGATATAAATGATATATGAAAGTGTGCATCTATTTAAAGACAGCTGAAGTTATGGCAAGATAATGTTGAAATACCTAGCCCTTAATTTGAGATGGAATATAGTAATGTACTCTTCTCACTGCTGTCACATATCTGTATTTTAATATCTGTATATGACTGCTCTCAGGAGAGGTACCTGATGATTCTGTCTGCAGCAGATGCCATATGAAAGGAGGAAATGCTACTGCTTATGTACTTTGTGCTTTTTTCAAGGAAGGAAGCTCTTTTTCAAAGAGCTAAGTATTTTTTCTTTCTACTTTATAAATAAGTGCAACTTTTCTGTATATCTTTTCAGCTCATGGAAAAAACAGACAGAGAGTACTACACTCTGGATGACATGTTTGTTTCCAAAGCAGCCAAGAGAGCACGCAGTGGGGAAGAGGAGGAAGTACAAAGAAGAAAAGCAATCCGTGAGCACCAGCAACTTGCTGCATGCATGGAAAAGTGCCCCTACTGCTTTGATAGCAGTGAACTTTCTAAACATCTTATTATTGCAATTGGCACCAAGGTAAGAAAATAGCAATTTAACACAAGCGTAGAAATAAAAAAGAAATTATGTTAGAGTGTTTAAAATTAGGAACAAAATTGCTTCTATGGAAGGATTTATTGTTCTGCATCTTACTTTCTTTGCTCTTTCAGTTGATTCCACAACTTCATCAAGGGTGAGGAGGAAAAAGATATAAATCTGTCATGAATTTTAAAGCTAATCTTTGATGTCAGGACTTCATGTTTGTAGAAGACAAGAGTAATAATGAAAGATTTCAGTGCAGAGATTAGACTGTCGGTGGGTTTGTGGAAGATTAAATCACACTTCACTGAAGGAAATTCGAACTGGTGAAGAACTGTGTCATGATATCAAAGAAAACTAAGTGGGGAATTCAATTTTTAAGCATAGAATCCTTCAAAATAGACAGAAGTTTGGTTTGGAAACCTTTCTGGTTCTGTTAATGCTTTTAAAAGTTACATAAATATTTGGATTTATAACATCTGAAATACTTCAGTATAACCTGTTTTGTCATTTTTTTTACTAGTTTTCATTTATCAGTGATGTTTTCATTTGATCAGAAACTCTTTATAGGTAGAGTCACGCACCTGGTACAGGTATACAGAGTTATATAGCTGAGAGGTATACAGCTGATATAGTGCTGTGTCTTGGATTTAGGATGAATGTAATGTTGATAAGACACTGATGTTTTTAGTTGTTGCTAAGTAGTGCTCAGGAACTTTTCTGCTTCTCATACTGCCCCACTGAGAAGGTGAGGGGGGCACAAGGAGTTGAGAAGGGACATGGCAGGACAGCTGGCCCTAACTGACCTTAGGGATATTCCAGACCATATGACATCATGCTTAGTGGATAAACTCAGGGGAAAGTTGGCCAGGGGCCAGTGCTTGGGAAATGGCTGGGCAACAGTGGGTGGGTGGTGAGCAACTGTGTTGTGCATCACTTGGTTTGTACGTTGTTGTTGTTGTTGTTATCATTGTAATTCAATTTCCTATCCTTTTAAACTGTCTTTATCTCTACCCACAATTCTACGTCTTTTCTTGATTCTCTCCCACTTATCCCACTGGGAACAGGGAGTGAGTGAACAACTGTGTGATGTCTAGCTGCCTGCCAGGTTAAACCGTGACATGTATACATTTTTTATATATATATATATGTATACACATATTATTAAAAGTGCATACAGCCATGTATCTATATTAAAAAATACTGGGCTGCACTGAACAGTGTCATTTCATAGCAGTTATGATACCAGTTATTTTATAAAGGTGATATTACTGCCTTGGTGGTGGAACTGTTCTCTGGATACTGCTGGTTGGTTTGATCTACTGGTGGATAATGGGCCCTTTTAAAAAGCACTAAAATTGCTAATACCTTGATGTAGTTAGTAGCTAATAGCTTCTGTTGGTTTGAATTTAGCAGATGATGAATTTCTTAGCCTCAGCAATGGGAAGGTTTTTAATGCTGGAAAACTGGGCCCTTGAGGTTTTTTTTGTTTTTCCTAGGTGTACTTGTCTCTACCAAGCAGCCAGTCCCTTACTGAAGGTCACTGCCTGATAGCCCCTCTACAGCACCATACTGCAGCCACTCTTTTGGATGAAGACATCTGGGAAGAAATCCAGGTCTGCTGAAAAACTGTCTCCTGTTCTAACCCTTTTGTAAAATAATTTTCTCGTGGATAATAACATCCTTGTCATAAGTACATACTTTCATAATTTGCAGTCTGGCAGCTCTGTTCTGATTCCACTAAGGGGCAGAACCTTCTCACATTATGGATGAAAATTATGGTCAAATATTAACAGGAAAGAGAGGCAGGGTAAATTCTGAAGCAAATTTTCAATTTATAAGCAGTAGAAGAAGTTTCCTGGAATGCTGCAGAACATGCATCCTTGGAGGTCTTTGAAACCATGTTAGAGGAATGTCTGTTGGAAATGAAGAAGGTACAGCTGATCCCTTACAGAAAATAGAATAACTGGCTTAATGGGATTCTCTTGGGAGTTCCAAGGAAAAGAAAAGAATTGTCAGATCAGGCAGATTACTTAAAATTAAATACAAATATGTTGTTTACATATCTTCAGTTTTTAATCTGGTTTTGGGTGGATATTAATTAAAAGAGAAATACCTTACTCTTAAAATCAATGAGATCTCTGTTTAAGTCCAATTTTCTGTCTTTTTTGAAGAGAATTATTAAAATAGTGCACCAAGCATGATGGGTTGTGCTTTCCAAGTCTCTTTTGAAGACATTTTGAAGATTTTGAGTTCTGTTTTCTTTGGAGATGGAAAATCAAGGGAGGGATGTAACAAGCTTCTGCCTAAGAGATTGGCTGTGTTTTCAATCCCCTATCCTGCCACCACGATTATTACAAAGGGAAAACAATTTGCCACCTCTTATATTGAAATATTGGAGACTATATCAGGCTAGAGAAAGGTTTCATTGTTGTAGTTGCTGAGATTTAAAACCAGCATAATTTATAAGTTTGTAATAATTTAAATAACATTGGTCTTGCCTCATGTCTGGCAGATGGATTCTCTTTACTTTTCAAATTTGCCTCCCACATTGATTCTCATGTCTAATGTTGTTTCATATAGTAAATTATGCTCCTTTCTAAGCAGAAAGGGGTTCTCTTGCATATGACAGAAATGCCTAAGAAAGTTGGATAAGAAACAAATAAGTGCAACAAGTAGGATCAGGAGGAAAAAAGAGCATGTGGAAAAGTGATAAATATGTTTATCCTCAATCTTCTATTTACCCCAAACTCTTAACTAAACAATTACAAATTTTAAATTGTATGAGAAAGAAAATGGCATCATGAAAAGATAAGCAAATGCAGTCCCTGTCTTCAGCACTAGTCTTTTACCTATTAGAAAAGGCATCTAGTTGATAAAACCATTATCCTTTGATCCTGTGAATATATTCGTAGACAGAATATAGATATTCTTAAATATTTCTTTGCAGTGAAGTATTTTGGAAAGTGATGGATACATGACTTTTTTTTTTCACCAACATATACGTATTACAGAAGAAGGAGTCTGGAAAATGTTAGAAAGAGTATAAGCAGACAGTCAATGACAAAACTAACTTTCTGATGCAAGAGACATATTTTTTATTACTGTTGAAAGGAAAAAAAATTGCCACACTTTAAGTATTCACAAAATGTTGTGTGAAGTATGAGTTTTAGCTAACTATTTTTGCTGGGGGTTTTTTTAGGCTATATTGGAGTAAAGCAAAAACAGTTCCTTTATGCTGTATGCCTTCAAGCTCTTGAATTTAATGTATTGTGTAGTTCAGACACTCATGTGCTCACTTGCCAAAGCAAATATGCATGGAATATTTTTAATATGAAAAGATACAAATCTTTACACAGTCTGTGTTGACTGAACTGTTGCTTGTATTAATGTTGCATCCACCCAAGCATAAACTAAGCCTTCTTATTTCCCCTTATGGATGGTTTTCTCCTTTCCAGTGCTAATTATTCTTGATTCTTTGGCCTGCTCAGAATTTGGAGGAAAAGTCCAATGTGTTTAAAAACAAGAAAATGCAACTGGGGAAAGTTAGCTAACATCTGCTGATACTCTAGGCTTTTGGGTGGATTTGTATTTCAGTTGATGCTGCAGGGTAGCAGCTGTAAGTCATAGTCTTTCTCAGCTTTTGGTATCTCACCACATTGCTTGGTTCAGTGTGTTTCAGAAATAGAGGTCTGGTGGCTGGAGTGACAAGGAGAAGACAAAAGTTGTTAATCTAGTTGTTAATCTAATCCCTCATGGAACACTGGGCAGTGTCTTCTGGCTGTAATTCATCAGTTTCTTTAGGGGAATGATGGTAGCATTCTCCTGTCACAGCATGGAGCAGCTCGTTAGTGAGAAAAAATTCAAGGGCCTGCTTTGAAGAGCTTAAATGCCTAGTTTAGGTATATAACTGGCCATGTTTCTCAGACTTTTAGTTTGATTAATACTGAGCAAGATTTCAAAAGGATGAAGAGCTCAATTTGTAGTCCTGTTGCATTGAAAACCTGGTAGTGATTTGATTTCTTTCTATTTTACTTCAGTGCTTGCTGATGTTGCTGATGTGTATTTTTTATGTATGTTTCAATTGTCAACTCTCCATTTACATTAAAATAAGGACTCTTAAACCTTTAGATGGGATTTGCCTTTTAATGGTGCTGTTTGTACTTCTGAGCATTGTTAATTGGCAAAAAATACCAGTGCAAAAAGGACTGCCTATGAATAATGTGAGTCTTAGGGCTGTGGTACCTTGGTCTATGAGGATCCTACAGTTTCAGTGATTTCTTGGCTTACACTTGGAAATTGTTATAGAAGCACATGTAAGACAAAAATCTTCATTTTTAAAAAGCACTTTTCAAGGTCTTGAGATACTTTCAGAAATATTCACCATATCAGAAAATTAGATCTTTTGTGCACTTGAAAATGAATTTGAATGACTCTCAGAAATCATCCCTTGTTCTTGATAATTTGTTCATCATCTGAACATTTTAAGCTATAGAATTATGCTTTTGCATATCTTGGATGCAAATGCCAACTGTCAAGAGCCTGGGAACAGCCAGAGCCAGCTGCTCTGCAGGAAAGCCAGTTCAAGGTGATGGGCAAGGCAGGTGGGGGAGGTCATCTCATTGACAAGGCACACTCCCATGGTACCAGGCCAGGAGTGTTCCTGTGGTTCCAAGGTCATCCATGGCCCCTTGATGCCAGGCAGGTTTACAGTGATGACTTAGGTCTGAGATGACCTAAGGGCCCATCTCAGGGCCAAGAGCTGCCAGGTACCTGGCTGGGCAAGGACCAAAACAGACAGCCTGGACTTAATTGCAGCTCCTGAGTGACAGGGGGCCAGGTCCACACTTCTCACCTCTTTAATAACTCTAATTTAATACCCCATCTCTTTCTGCTGGACCTGATCCAATTCACAACTGAAGTGCATCAGAGCTTCCCCCCTACACAGGCATCCAGAGCCTCAGCAGGTCTGGCCCAGCCCCTGCAGTGCCTCTTGGGTGTGTGCAGGATCCTGACACTGGAACTAGCATAATTGTTAACTGAAATACACTTTGAGTAGGTGCAGCGCCTCCTCCCTCTGACAGGGAACTGGTAAATGTAGCTTGAGGCCTACTACAGGATACATACTACAATATATGTAGTATTACATTTGGTTTGCTTTCATAGAGTGAAGATGGTGGATTTATTTCTTGAGGCAATTATTAATATTTTACTTAAAGATCAAGCATGACTAGTGAAAATACTTTCCTTATTTTTTTTTTTTTTTTAACTGTATAATTGGAAAGAGTAGTAAAAGAGTAATTGTAACTATAGTCAGTAAAACCCAGGTCATTACCTTCTTAGAAATTGCAAGCTTGGGACCTACTGTTAAAGCCATGTTGTTTTATGGAGCACTGCAGTTAAGAAATTCAACACAGTTTCAATTTCAGCTGTAAAAATATGTGGTATTTATTAAAACTAAGTTTGTAGTGTTAATTATATTGTGTGTTTCAAAATAGCTTCCTAGACTTCCTATGTTTTTATCATAGGAAATGTAGTTAATCTTAAATTAGTAAATAATGCATAATTTTCCTAGTATGATTGCTACTATTTTCCATTTTATTGTTAGTTTATTATGAATATGTTAGTGAAATAATACATTATATCTGAAAGTTCTGCAAAGTCAGTTAAAATAACACATTTTTTTCCTTTAAACAGATGTTCCGAAATGCACTGGTGAAAATGTTTGAAGCTAAAGACTTGGACTGTGTGTTCCTGGAAACAAACATGAGTATGAAGAAGAAGTATCATATGGTATATGAATGCATTCCTCTTCCAAAAGAAGTAGGAGATATGGCTCCAATCTACTTTAAGGTACATAAAAATATTTTTTTAATGAAGTAATTTGAATGATTATATCATAATTCTTCTATTTCTGGAAAAAAAATTTATATTCAAATGCTATTTTTGAAAATATGTATTCTTTGATTCTTCTTCTGGATCCATTCTTTGCTAGTATTCCTTGATCTTAAAATAAGTGGTGTGATATAATTCAGTTTTTCAAGTTGCCAGTAGAAGAGCTGTTTTTCACTGAGCATTTGCCCCAAGTCTGACTGCACTGAAAATTCTAGAAGAAGATGAGACAATTGTAGTCTCTTGAAGTGCTTTAAGGATTGCAGTACTTCTTACTCCAGTCCTGTAGTATAAACTTAAAACACAATACTTGTGCCTTGGCAAGCATTAAATGAGAAAATAATGTTACCTGTTTTAAGAAATACCAATGTAGATATTGTTTCATCCCCATTTTATTTCAGTAAGCCCAAATTTTACATGTGTCTTAGGCCTCTGATGAACATTCTACAGCAGGATAAATATTTCTTCTACAGCTTTTCTGGTCTCTTTCCCCTGACCTTTTAAGAAAAGGTTCATTGAGGCTTCTGCCTGGAACTGAGTCCTTTCAGCTTTCAGCAACTGACTCATTATTTGCCTTTTATAAGTAAATTATTTTATTTGATTTTTGAAATACTATTTATGCTTTCTGGAAATAATGTGATTAAGTTTTGATGAAGTGGGACAGCAGTATGGTGAGCAACAATATGGTAACTTTTACCACATTTGAAACCCTCCACCTGTCAGATCTGACTGCTGTGCTTCAGGTGCTGGTAAAACTTGTGTTTTCTTTGAATACTCAAGGAAAGAGAAAGAGCAAGATTTAATGCAATGTCATTTGTTTTGGAAGTATCTACCATTAAAATGCACTGCAAATGAAATTTAAAGGTATCTACCCTACAATATACCCAATTCCATACTATGGGGAATACAGAGTCAGCTTTGGGTTTTTAAGGGCAATCATCCTACTAAGCTGGATTCTTCTCTTAGTGTTTAAAATAGAAAAAAGACTAATTTAGTGTAATGAATTCATGAGAGGTTTTGTATGGGTGAGTAAAAAGAGAATGTGGTCTTTTATTTGAAACTTGTGTCAAGCAAAACTTAAATTAAAATAAAAAAGAAGCAGAGGATCTGAATTGGATGGGTCTGACTCTATTATATAATGTTTTTATAAAGTAGCTTGTGTCAATGAGACAGGTTACCAAAAACAAAGTTACTTTCTTAAGAAGTTATTGTTACTTTCCCTGCTACAATGTACTTCACTACAGTTAGTTCTTTATTTGCTGTATGAAGGACTGTTTCACCTTTAGATAAAATAATTTTTCAGAAAGCTATAATGGAGTCTGATGAAGAGTGGTCCATGAACAAGAAGTTAATTGATCTTTCTTCAAAAGACATTCGGAAATCTGTAAGTAATGAAGTTTTTTGTATCCTGAATTTATCATCAAATTCTTATAACATTTTTCCATTATTAACTGTTTCAAAGAGAGAAGAAAGGGAACACAATTAGATTAGTGCATCAGAAGATGGCATAGGTATGAGGAGAATTACCAGTCTGCACTCTTAACTGACATTAGGGAAAAGATTCCCATTTATTTCAACAATTGGTGGACTAAGCTGCCAGCATTAGTTGAGAACAAAGCTGACACTTTGAGGACATGTACTGGCATAATATTCATGATTAACTTTAAGAATTAAGGTAGATCAAAGATTTGCAAATTACTTTCCTGGAACAAATATGATTTGTCCTTTTCATTAACCTAGAACAGCTGTTTGTGTTGCTAAGTTTATGAAGTGAAAACATAAATAGCATTATGAATGGTTTTTTTTGTAAAACAAGGGAACAGTACCTTCTCTGTCTCCTGGATACTGAGATGAAACATCTTTATATAAACAAATCTTAAAGGAATAATGCTGGATCAGTTAGGTTCAGAGATTGTTCTGTCATTTTAATATTGAGGTGGAAGATGTGTGTTATATATAGCCATACATTTTTGTGACTATTATATATTTATTGAAGGTAGGCCAGTTTTCAGATTAAGTCAGGACAGTTCTTTACAGTAATACAATGTAGCTGAACATAAATTGTTACACAGTTGTGTGATTTTAGCATTATTGTTGGGTAAGAAGTGCCTGTAGGCTTCAGGAAGATCGGAGAGTGTGGTTTAGAGACTGAGCTGAGGTTTAGGCATTTGGAGAGTTGTATTGGGAGATGGTGTACCTGGAAGGTCAGACATGGCTGAGACATCACCTAGTGTGTGGATTGTGTGCAGAAGCTGGGAGAAATAAGACAAAGCTGACCTTTTCTTTAAGGTGTCATCTGCCAACCCATTTTTCCTTATTTAATGATTTTTTTAAAGTCCATTTAAAGTCTTAAATGTTTCTTGCTATGCTACATTGCTCCTCTGTATTAAATCTTAATTATTTTTAGAGTCAGTATTTCAAGCAATATATGGAACACACCTCCTGAAAGTTGTGTCGTTATTTGGACTGTAGCAGAGGAAATGCTTATGAATTGGAGGCTTTGTAAATCTTACCAGTACAGAAACGTCCTCTGCAATTAAAGGAGTGAAAAATAACTTGTTGCAGTGAAACAGCAGAAATTACTTGCAGTACTGTAGCAATAAATGGATCCACTTCTGTTAGACTGGAGAGTCTTTTGTTGTGGCAGATATCCAGCATCTCCCCTGCAGGCTGACAGAATTATTGTCTGATTTGGCAAGCTAAGGATAATATCTGTCCATTCACATAGAGGGGGTTTCTGGTAATTTTTTGTCCTTCCTCCTGAGTGTCAATTTTTTTCACTGGGTAAATATTTCCTGTTACCATAGGAATGTTGTCCAAAGTCAGTATCTTTAGTAAGTGCAGCTTGCTTGCTAGTGTTTGTCTTAAAATTTCTGTTAAATTTGCATAATTCAGAGATGTGGAGTCAGGGAGGCATTTGCCCACTGCGCACACTGCTGCCTGGTGTCCCCATCTCTTGCCTGCTATTCCAGCTGTGGCCTCTGGAGGTTCTGCCACCCAGTCATCCTGTCTTCAGTGTCTTTTTGTCCAGTTGCTGTGTATTATTGTTTTTCCTTACCTGTTTGCTTTACTGTTTCTCTGTTGCAATTTTATCCTACATGTAGTTGGTTTGAGAAGTAGTTTAAAATAACACGTGATACTGTCAGCTGCAAAAACACATTCAAATTCATTCTCTTGTGGGGAGGTTGACTAAATGGCAGCAACGTTTGCTAAATATCTGAAAATGTGGTTTTGTATGTAGGTTCCTAAAGGGTTGCCATACTTTTCTGTGGACTTTGGCCTTCAGGGAGGATTTGCTCACGTGATTGAAGATCAACACAATTTCCCTCATTACTTTGGAAAGGTATTGTTATGTAAAAGATTAATTTACCAATTATGGTCTGTTTTGGAAAATTTAAGTAATTAAACCAAGATGCTGCCAGAACAGTTACTTTGATGTACCCTATCTGAGTTCATCATCTGTCTTTTCTTGATGAGTCATTGTAACTTGGCTTGTTGAATGAAGCAGTTGATTTTTTTCACTAGCTGATACTGAGATTGTGATTCTAAATTTGTGTTTATTTCAATTCAATCTGAACTGCAGATATTTGAAATTATGGGTATATAGTCTTTAGATGGAAGATACTTGCATCTACTTAAGAATTTTCATGGACATAGTATTGATACATAGGTGCACTGACACCTGCTTGTATAAATTAGTGTGCATACACATAGAGACTTACAGACAACTCCTTCTAAAATTCTCGTGTGGTTAAATTGCTACTCATGGTATGTATAGTGTAAAATGTATATTCAGGGAGAGCTGTAATAAACTCTAAAGAAATAAATAATTCCTTTCTTTATTATGTCACAGAAAGCATTTTTTGAAAGAGTCAGTGTTGCAAAAACATGAGAGAAATTGGGGGAGAAATATAACACTAGAAATAGCAAAGTGAGCAGCTTTCCTTCTCCGAACTTACCTTAATCACAAATGCACTAATGCATTAACAGTCTTGCAATGTTAGGATATTTAAGCAATACATTAGTGTGCTGTGCTTACAATAATTTTGCTGAGGGAACCATCTAACAATTGAAGTTCTATTTTTAAACTGGTATATTTTTCAGAATTTCAACTTTTAATTAGCTCTTGAAGAAAATGGACAGTCTCATAATATGAAAATACATATGTCTTTATTCTGTGATAAGAAAGTGTTAAGTAACATGGTAATTTTGCATTTATCGTTATCTATCTTACTTTTACTTGCAAAGGAAATTATTGGTGGCATGCTGGACTTGGAACCGCGGCTCTGGAGAAAAGGAATCAGACAGAACTTTGAGGAGCAGCGGAAAAAGGTGTTGCAGTTTGCTCAGTGGTGGAAACCATATGACTTCACCAAAAAGAAAGAATGAGAACAACCTGGAGTCAAGGACTATATAAGCCATTAATTACACTAAAGGATACTTCAAATGTTAGGAATAACACCAGTGTGTTATGTGTGGCTAATATATTTTAAAATATAGGATATTGTTTAATTGCTGATGATCTGTTTCTGTTTTGGACACTGAATCACATGTACTCACAAGCCTGAAAAACCAGATTTGTACAGTGAGTTTAGTTTTTCCTTTTTCAGTTGAGCCAAAAGGATAATATCCATGTGGCCATTTGAGTTCTTAAAAATGTAACTTTTGCTTTTGGAGTTTTTATAATCTTTGAGACAACTGATATTTTTTATATTGTATTAAGCCAGTGCTTAATAATCATGGTGAACTTTTGTCAAAAATGGTGTACATTTTAAGAACATTTTGATTAATACAAATACATTGCTACAGAAGGAAATTATACAGAAAATAGTCTTCTGATTTTGTGTCCTTGTGGTCTTTAAATTGAGGTCATTGCAGTAACACAAACATTCACGAAGAATGAATGTTGCCCCCCTGTACAGGAATGAATACAATTTTTTGTACTTTCTTTCAATATGAAGTAGTGTTTTTCAAGCACAAAGGATAATAAGACAGTCCATAGCTGATGACAAATGACAGCTTTAATAGCAGCAGTTACCTTTGGTAACAGTGAAAGAAGAATCTCAAGGGAAAACGCTCTCTGATGGCCAGCAAAGAAGAAATTCATCACAGGGATCTCCCCAGGTAACCCTGCTTCCTTGTGTGTCCCCTCTCAAGTGGTTTTTGGTAGTACTTTGCCCTAATAGTTTTCATCAAGACCAGCTCAAAATCCCTGCTTGTTTTTCCTGCTTGTGATGCTGTTAGAGCTGGTTGAAGCACGCTCTGACCAGAGGCAAGAGTTGCGTGTTAATTGATTGTTAAGCATAGATGTCACCGGCAAATGCCTGCATGCTGTTTCAAGGACCACTTTCCACCATTTATTTGCTAGATTTTAGTTTTTTCTTTTGTGTAAAAGATATGAAATGAGGGTAGGGAAAAGGTGATTCTTGCATCAGTGTCCACCACTTCCTGCGGAAACCCTAACATAGCAGGCTTGGACTTTGCAGGGAGAGAGCTGGGAGAGCAAGGAGAATAGGAGAAAGGACAGATGGACATGGATAGAAACATTAGAGCAGCACAAGGGAAAGGTGCAGACCTGTGAACAGAGGGCTGCAGTTCTCCAGGGGGAGGCTGCAAACGGTGGAATGTGGAAGGCCCTTGGTACAGGATAGATTAAGGCACTGTGTGAGCGTCTTAATGTGCTGCCTGTTCTTTTCCTTCTGAACTATTGCTCTGTACATCTCTGTTAACTATTGTGAACTGCTCAGATTAAGAAACAGATCACTAAATATTACAGGGTTGAATAAGTATTTAATATGGTGGTCTTTTGCAGCTTTGCTGAAGATGTGGTGCTTTTCACAGTGCTACCCCACTGCCACATTTTAGCAAATAAGTCTGGTAGAGATTGGAATCTGCTGCGTTGTGAATTATTTTCTGTAGGATCTTTGTCAGTTGGTGCCACTTTAAGAGAAGTAACTTAAAAGTAAGCTTTGATGATGATTGTAGTGATCTAATGTCTGATTTGCACTCTGTTCACCAGCAAGGTGTGGATAAAGGGACAATTCTTCTCTACTCCTTAGGCTATTGGGAAGATTGCTTAGCAAATAGGATGTGAAAGCTAGTAGTTGCTTAGCATGTAGCAATACTGAACCAAACTCAGCTAAAGCACAGTCTTTGGTGGTGTAAAGCATGAGTAAAAATTGCTTTCTCTGAAAGCATATGTAGCCTTCAGTCTCATCTGCCTCCTGGGATGATAGCTGGAAGCAGCAGAGGTGACTGACTGTCTTTTAAGGCCATGGAAAAGTCTTTATCCAATGCTGTGCTGGAAATGCAATTCTTCTGACAGCTCTGCTCTCAGAATTTCTGTTCCTCGAGGGAAGTGCTATGTTTCACAAAGAATATCCAACTTGTGTGTAGAAAAGTCCTCTGACTCATGGTCCATGCATATTTTATTATTCTGCTTCCAGCAAAACTACAAAACTACTGGTATTGTTTGGAAAGGACTCTGAAATATGGGATAAGAGTAACTCAAGCTAGTGATACAGGAAAATGTTTCTTACCCTGTTAGAAGTTTTCAAAATGGGAGACTGTGTTTACCACATACACTGAGAATAGTATCTTGTCGTAATTGGTCACAGACCAGAAAAGCATATTGTCAGGTTAAGCTGTTCCTCCTCATAAGTATCTCTAAATATTCATAAGGCTGTGACAGTAAACACAGCTTGTTAGGGCATTTTTAGAAGGCATGGTATGTTTACACTTCCGTCCTAACCCTTATAAATACTAAAAAAATTTAAATAGACTTCTTTCATCTGTAAGAATAGCCAATAACTAAGTTCTTTAGTAGTAAGATATAAAATATTAATTCAGGTGTCTTTAGGGAAAGCAAGGATTGGAAGCTTGATTTCTTATGTTGTTATAAATGTGCTTCTGTGTACTCTTTTGTGTGACTAGGAAAGAGAAGGATCTTCTTTCTTCAAGTGAATCTACGTGTGTGATTTAAGAGGGATTGTATCAATGTCTTGCCCTGTGTTACAAGAAGCTGGTGTAGTATGTGCTACTCATCTGAAAGGAAAACATGTTAAAATTAATAGTAATGCTCATGGCAGTTCACCAATCTCTTGAAATCTCATGAAAGAAGAAAACTTTTCCTGCATCCCCTGAGAGTTCTTTCTTAGGTTGAAATTTCTTCAGTATTTCCTGTTTTCTGCATTTTTCGTTTTATCTTTAAAGTATATTTTTCTAATTGACTACAGATGAAAAGTCATGGAAACACAGGCTGCTATACTCTTGCTTTAAGTGTTGCTGTTTTGTAAACTGGATCTTTAATATCCTGGGTAAACTAGGACTAGATACTAAAGTCCAAAACATCTTTGCCTACAAGCATCTTTATCTTTTCTGGCTCCTGGGTGTGACCCAAACACTGTACACAGAGGCACATCTTGCACATTGGTTATGTTAGAGAAAGCAGAGTCTGAGCTCATGATGTGTGGGTGGTTGTAAAAGGTTCATTCCTCTGCTCAAGCATGTGCCTTTTTACATGTGGTCTGAGGGCAGCAGGCAGCCTGAAATTGCTCTGATGAGACAACTTTTAAGTTCTGCATTTGAACTGAAAATGCATCAATTAATTATTTTTAAATTTTTAGCTTTCATAAGGCAAGTACCCTAGAGCATACATGCAGTAAAAACAAATTTAGCAAAAACCCACGAGCACAACTAACATTTTAGAATAAAGTTGAAAGTATTCTTCTTGAGCCACTATATTTAAGGTAATGTTTTTAATCAAAATTTTCTGGTTTGCAGTTTCTGGCCATTGATGCACAACTGTTGGTCACCTGCCAATCTGGAATGAGAGATAGATACAGTTTGGTTTCGAGGCCAGACAAGATGACTTTTCCAAGTCTCTCCCAGCTCTTTCTGCTGTGGTTTTAAGATGTTATTTGGTTCTGATATTTATGTGAAAATGTTTTGGAACAGCATTGTAGGACAAGATATGAGCAGCGAACAGCTGATAAATATTTAATGGAGCATAAATACACAGTTGCTGCTGTACAGCTTCCCTTTGTCTGTCATCACAGGTTGCAGGGCTTCATTTGGGAATGCCAAGTGATCTCTTTCGTCTCTAGGTTTTACAGCCAGTTTCAGCTGTGGGCTTTGTAGTTTGAAAGCATTACAGCTCTTCAAACTCTTCCAATATTCCCCCTTTTATTGTAGAACAGTTCTTTGAATGTTTGACCACAGTTCAGGAGGCCAGTGGGACAGAAGACAACAACAAACAGTCATAATGGCTTTATGGACAGTGGCATCTCCAGGTGGAACTGTGTGTGTAGGCTTTTAGTTCAGAGTTAGCATGGGCAAATTGAGTCAGAAATGGTAACATTATGATCTTTCAGTCCCTTGCTCTTCTTTCCTGGCTGCTATTGCAGGACTTAGATTTTCATTATCTTAGCCAAGCCTTCCATTTTAGATAACTCTTCTTAGCAGCACTTGCTAAGACTTAGTAAGAACTTGCTAGGAATGCTGGTTCAGCCTCTTAGCCACTAAGACTGACCAGTCTGTACTACACTACTGGGTCTTTGCCTGAATCACCCTTTCCCATGGCTGATAGTGAGGGTTTGCTAGTGTTATGTAGTGGAAAAGGTGCAAAGCTTGGTATGGCTGCTGTTTGTTATACACCAGCACTCCAGGTCTCTGTGTAACTGTGTGTGTTGGGATATGTACTGATTACATTTAGGAAACAAGTACTGAGACTTCATGGGATTTCACTAGAGTTACACCGGGCTGTACACCATTAAACATGTCAGAGTATGTCCCTTATCATAAGGAGAAGGTAGTTTTAAGTATGCAAAAGAAATTACTACTTTACTTCATCTGCTAATACTGGATTTATAAAATGCATTAAGTAAGCCTTAAGCCTTTCATAAGTGGTTTGTGGCATCCATAGAATCAGAGGCGAAGAAGGGCAGGAGATAATTTTATCTAGCTGATCCAAAGAGAAAATCAGGTACATTTGTGGCATTGGCATTCCTAGATCTGTTTTTCCTCATGAAACATTTGGTTTCTTATCTTTAATCTGATTTGTTCATGATTCAAGTTCAGTATTTCTTGTCTGTTACAGATCTGTGAAACATGATTTCGTTCTTCAGAGGCTGCTTTTGCGTATCTGAGGACTGCAGTTAGGCTGTCTCCAAATTCTTGTCTTCAGGTTAAACTGTGCATTTTCTTTCAATGTTTTCCTGTAGGTTATTATTTTCTATTCTTCTCATTCTTTTGTGCTATAGAGTCTCTCTGGTTCATTAAGATAGGATGTGATGGAGTCTCGAGAGTGGATATGATATCTCAGAGAGTTGTTATCACTGTGTCTGACAGGAGAGGTTGCTGCCATTCTTGGTGGAATATCCTCCTAGTCACACACACACACACACACACCCCCACACACCCCCACACCCCCCCAGTGCAGTCCCTCTTTTCAGGAGACTATGACATAGTGAAGCCCATGACTCCCTGCTATCTTCAGATCCTCTCCTGCTCTCAAGTCAACAGTTTGCTATTATAGCAAATTACACCCAAGTCTGTGTTCTTGCTCTTATTGTTATTGACTTCATTTCCTTTTTATAGACCTGTTTTATTTTCATTTTGATGAGATGATTTTGAGTTCTACTTCTGCTTTTACATTATTTTTTGCAACCTCTTGAGTCATGTGCAAAATTAAGGAGCAATGCTGTATTGCAACAACTAGCAGCGGGTGCCACATCCATGTTCACCCTGCAATATCTGTGTGCCCTGACTAAACTGTTCCCCTGCTGTCACCTGGACTGTTGCTGATGGACTGCTGCAACTTCTGATCCCATTTTTCTTGCTACAGGTGTGTCTGCTGTGGGCACCTCAAGTACCAAATGCAATAGGAAGGGTTGCTTTAGTGGAGTCAGAAACTAGTATCATCTGTAAAAGGTGAGATGGAAATGAATTGTTATCCAGGATTATATTCTGGTTTTCCATAGGAAAAAAATGGCCTGAAATTCAGACATTGCAGTTATGCCTTTCTCATTCAGGTCATCTGCTTGGCTGGGTGCCTTCCCAGCCTCTTGCACATTCAGAGCACTGAGGGGGCAGAGGGAGAAACCGGAGAGGCCTTGATGT